CAGGTTTCTGCTCATGGTGAAGCAACGTGTCTGCGTGTTAAGGTGGAACCTGAGCATTCACGTTGATCACCTCTCATTATAACTCATTATAAATCTATAAAACTATAAATATTAAACTTGACTTCACTTGTTCATTTGAGAACAGCTGTTACATACCTGGGTGAAGGTTACAGTTCATTTAAATGAAAGATACAACGTAACTCCACACTCATGGTTCAGTCCACCTTAAGAAATAAGACCGACCTCGGAAGCAGTACACGAGTACACTTTTTTATAAGAATATAGTCTAAACCACAGAAATGACTGCTGCAGATATAGCCATAAGAAATTAATGCAACTGATTTCATCCGCACGGTTTGGCTTTATGAAGCAGGCACGCAAACGGTTACGTCATGACGCAAACGATGACGCAATGACGCAGCACCAGTCGGACTCTGGGCGGTGTGAAAAGAGCCAGAGCTAAACCGAAGAACCGGTTCTGAACCTGAAAAGCTCTAGCACGGAGCTTGAACCGGAGTTGCGTTGGTGTGAATGAGGTACTAGTCAGAGCGGAGCACGACTCCTGACTTTTCCTTGTGTTTTTTATATCTGTTGTAATTTATTGTCTTTTATTATGATTGTAGTAATGTGTTTTTATTACATGTACTGTACAGCACTTTGGCTCGACCAAAAATCGCTTTTAAATGTGCTTTATAAATAAAACTTGATTTGATTTGAAATGTAAATATGCCGGATTTTAGCTTTGAGCTAATTTCCATCCGTAGTCCCTCACATACAACATTTAAGAACATGACATTTATATACATAGCAAAAATAAATACATGATATGCAGAAAGAGCATGAGCAGCATACAAGCATTTTCCACATGGCAGTAAAATATAGCAGCAACGACATGTAAAGTGCAGGAGAAGATACAAGAGCTACATAAAGTGCAAGAGAAGATACCCCAGTGTTAAAGTGCATTTAGCGGCGATTGCACGTCTGTTTGTTTCTTAACCATTCTTTGAGTTGACCTTTAAAACTATTGAGAGTGGGACAATCCCGTATCTCAGTTGGGAGGCTATTCCACAATGAGCTGCCTCTAATGGAGAGGACATTTTGTCCAAAGGTGGTCCGTCTACGATGGACTTCACAGTCTCCTCTGGTTTCTGACCTAGTGCAGCGTCCAGTGTCTTTTTTGTGTATGAATTCCCCTAAGGGAGGGGGGCCAGTCCATGTAAACATTTATAAAAAAAACACATACTTTTAAAAGACTAAAAAAGACTTAATCTGATCTCTCCTTCTATCTGGGTCTTTGCACTGCATTCTAGCATTTGTCAGTTCCTTTAAACTAGGACTAGTTTAAGGAATGTGATTCTATTGTAGTCATATGATGCGTCTTTTCTTCTCTGACCCCCTGTGTTAAAGAGAGGGGGGTCCTTTGCATAACAGAAGTGTTGGTATACTGAAGATTCAAAGAGAACTGTGCAGGATTTTCTTACTGGATTGTTGAGATTACTAGACCATGTTTTGTATCAAATATTCATATTCAAATTAATATTCTTCTTTAGTATTTACAAAACTCTAAATAATCCATTATTGTGCACTGTGATATGGATACCTAACACAGAGCAGGGTGTAAAACATAATTATTCTTTACTGGATACAATTGTCTTTATTTTAGTAGCTACTTCACTTCATTCCAGCTATATTATATAGTTTTACATCATTTTTGTAATGAGTGAAATATGTTGTCATTTAAAAATTGTCAAAATGTAGTTTTTTTTAATGAAATAAGCACATTAGAAATGTGCATTTATCACAGTTAAGACAGATAGTAATACTAAGGAGTGCATCCCTAGTTGAGTTACGTTCTCTAACATTTGTAATAATGTTCTTTTTACAGGATATGTTTTCCCTTATTTTTCCTTTTTGTGAGTCTTGTTATTTGACTCACTTCCTTGAGTTTCTCCCTTTTTAAACGGAATTCAAATTAGTTGTTTTTTGGCACTATCTTTACAGTAAAAGGAGTAACCGTTTGGCATCACCAAAGCATTTGTGCCTGAAAAAGAGAGTCTAATTGAAATCTGTGTTTTCTCTGTGTGACTGTTTCTCTGCAGTTGGGTGACATCAGTTGGAGCGTCACTCTTTTGTACTAGCATGGCATGCTTTTTCTGCCCTAAACAACAGAAAAGGGGATTCCTTCTCTCCCTGACCTGCTTATTATGCTGCTGGAATGCTAAAGATCTAATGCTGAATCTTAGTGCAAAGTATTTAGTGGGGTTTTTTGGAGGCTCAGGAGATTAAGTGGCATTTCAGCTCAGTTTGAAACCACCTCTTATTTCTCCTTTTTACATTTTCCGTGCCATTTACTCACTCTTATATTCTATATCCACTGACTATATAGTACCAATGGAAGCTTAAAAAGTAATAAAGCATGAAGGTGGTTACCAGTAATTCATTGTGCTGCTTTCCACCTCACTGATTGTGCTTTACTTACTGCAATCCATCTGAAATGGGACATCATCACATACCAGGCCATGAGTCATTGTTTGGATGAGTCGTGAAATAATCCCTCATGAATGAACTTGGGTAAAAAGGCTTTTATGTGAGCATGAGGGCCTCCTGTTGAGGGACAAACAATCCTCTAGGATGGGTTCCAAAACGGTTGTGGACACAAACTCATAAAAAAACGAATTGTTACTTATTTTAATTGACTAGCCATGAGACAAGAGGTTGTGACATAAGGGACTTCAGTGTTTAAATCTGTAATTGGTTGTTTTGTTCACTGTGGTCGGCTTTAAATCTTTATCTTTTACATTAACATTCCTAGATCAGCGGTTGCGTTACTGTAAAGAAACATGTCTTGCATTCTGCATGTCGCTGATGTATTTCGGAGACAACATATTCTTGAATTTTATACCAGCAGATTTGCCAGTTATTGTTGTCCGAGGATAGTCCCAATTAGCTAAAACAACAGCTGCCACAAAATGTATGTGACCCAACCGATAAATATTGTGCGTTCGTTGGCAATCAACAATGCCAATATTGTCCGATAATACCGATGTTAGGACTTTACAACCATTACACAATTTTACCACCTCATCTTAATTCATTGTTAGTTGATGGGAATCCCCACTTTAAAGTAACGAATGGTGCCAGTGCACTGCCCTTTTTATCACTGAACAAAGGTCATACAGTAAAACACAATTGTTTAATTCCTTGTGATCGATCATTTTACTATAGAGATGTGAGATTTACTCAAAGTCACTGATAACATTTTAGAACCACATTGAACTAAAACGAGCCCTGTATGTGAAATCAAAAATGAGTATTGCATGGTGTAAGTCCCTAAAGCAATTATTCTGTAAATTATATTTGAACTGATGTAAGGGCAGTTGGGAAATACCCCCTGTGAGATAAATGAGCGAACAACTGAAACACACCCACAAAGACAACAACAATGCGGTTTGTTGCTAACCATCTGATCCTGATTATGTTTGTTCAGCACTGTCAGAGGTGCTGAGATCATCCCCTCTTGCTTTCATTAACGTGTGCTACACTTTATTGCTGCACGGAATATGTAATGTTGGTAGTACCCAAAATTTTTTCTTTAAAGCAAGATGAGACAACTGTCTGCCCTTATTTGATCTGGGGTTTTCCAGTGATGCAGCTGATCTCACAGTTTTCCTTGAATTTTCTATTGATGTATACAAGTTTAAAGAAGTATACAAGCCCACGTTCAAATCCTTGACTCTAGTATGTTTTGATATTTTAAAAATTCAGACCATCCAATATGGCCGGGACGAAAAGCCATGGTCGCCTAGCAACCTAACTGGCACAACATGATTTAACATACCCCCCTTCTCAACTGTTATCTTTCTATTTACTTGTTTGTATTACAGATAAAATCATAAAGGTCCTACTTGTAAATAGTGATTTTAAGAGGTACTGGTTGGGAGATATTGTTAGCTCTGGACCTAAGCAGGTTAGCTTTGTTTCAAGTATTTATGCTAAGCTAACTGCTGTGTTTACAGCAGTGGCGATAAAACAAACAAAAAAATCGATTTAATTATATAAATAAAATGTAATAAAATGTATATAAAATGAATAAATGAGAATTGTATCCGTGTTGTTGATCTGTAATATTACAGTGTTACGTTGATTTGTTTGTCCTTTTCGGACCATGCTCTGCGCATTTCAGTGGTTTTTTGTTAGAAAAGAAAAAGCAACCAATCAGATCTTGTTCTGGGTCTCTGGGTAGAATATCCTTCAACAAGGTATTCTACATCCTTGATCGAATGCCCTGGCCGTTGCACTGAATGAGAGCGTACGTTTGGACTGACAGTTTGATCAACCAATCATATGTTGATTTGTAGCCAATGGGCGTATTCTTTCAGAGTTTCCCTCGGTTCCAGGGTATTCTAGAAGGCCCGCTAGTTAACTGGCTTGAGACAGAGGACCTAGATGAATGCGACGAAGCAATTCATGCCGTTTTATTGTTTTTAACGTTGAAATGACAAGTGCAACAGGTGAAGATGAAGTTGTTGCGGAATCGTTGTGAGTACCATTTTCAAGACGACAATTCAGTGAAAAGACGGACATTATAATGTCGCGGAGGGGAGGGGGGGCGGTGGCGGGGGGTGGGTGTGTCTACAGAAGGTCCAGTTGTGATAGCCACGGTTCGCCACTGGTTTACAGAAATGACAGTTGTACACATATTCTCATTTTACTCTTTCAGGAACAAAAAGCTCAAGTGTATCTTTTAGAATGTTAAACCAAAGCTGTCATATTTGGAAATCATAACCACTCTTTGAGAAACACTGTCTTTTATTTATTCCATCATAGAAATGCAGTGTCATTTATGACAGACTCCTCACAAATATTTCATAAAATGAAATAGTTATGTGTGTCACTGCAATCCGTGCTGTAGCCGTCAGTCAGATGACTGTCAAGATTAAAGATTTATCTCAACAAACTTGAAAAACACATTCTGATTGCTGAACTCGTGCTGAAGTGTGTGGAAGGCCTATCCCCAATGTCTGTCTGTCTATCTCTCTCACTCACTCTCTTTCATTTGTAAACAAAACAACGTGATTGTGAAACCGGATTCACCTGGAAAACCTGGAGCATAACATTTACAGGACTTTTAGGCTTAGTGGTTACATTAATGTAAGTATTGTCATGCAAATATTCGTATATCTAAAGATATGATATACCTAAGTATACTTGAGTGCCATGTGCTAGTCTTATTCTATATAATACAGCTAGTGAAGTAGAAGTGATAGAGGGTTTTCTTGGTCAGTGCACTTGCCACTGTGTGACCTCGTTCCCATTTGTGTGTGTGTGTGTGTGTGTGTGTGTGTGTGTGTGTGTGTGTGTGTCTGTCTGTTTTTAGCCCAAGGCTTTGATTTCCCGGCCGGGCTCGCAGTTCAGCCGATAACAAGGGTTACTTTGATCTCCGTTTTGTGGGTGTTTGTTGTTGTTTTGAGGCTTTAACGAGTAAGATTGAATAAATATGTTTTATTATTAGCAGTTATTTACTCTGTATAAATGAATGTCATCTTTTTGGATGATCGCATAACGGGTCTGTTATGGTTGTGGTGATAAATGTGATCTGTCATTTTTTTTAAAAACAGCCGTGTATTAAGTATAACGATTAAATAAACGTCTGTAGCACATCCACAGAAAACCTCAAAGTCCACATGCTTCCACTTTAAGTTACCAGAGTGTGGAAACGCTATCCTGTTGCTTATTTCAGAGTGATTTTAATTTAGCTTGATGGCAAACACAGCTGCTGATCATGCCCCTGGGCGCATGGCTTCAGGATATAAAGCTACAGTATGAAACTTCTCGTCGGGAGTTGACAAACGGTTAGTAGTCCTGCCCTCCTGACCCATAATTGGACAGGCTCATGCCCGAACGTCATGTGTCAGTTTGTTTCCTCAAATGACATCAGCTGACATGACAGCTAACACCTGTCCAGCGGCATTACATTAGCTGAAGCAGCAGATGGTTTCACAGATGGCTTCTAAATAAAAACATCCGTGTTTTTAATTTCGTCTTGTCAGCATATTTAGTTGTACTTGAGTTATAATTTCATTTCTCTCTGCTCCTCCCTAATGTAGTTGTGGTTGCTTGCATGGGTTAGAATTGCTAATCTCTCTTTCATACTACACACAAGCAGGCTGGTTGGTGCCTACCACAAATTGTGATTAAGGAATAAAGGCGTGTACACACAGCTAAACAAAAAGTTGGACTATTATTATTCCAGATTTTTTGTTTTTAAATATTAAAATCCATATTTTACTGTTTCATATCCAGCAGATATAAACACAAGGACTGGGATATATTTTACTCTTTCATATCTCACATATTCTTTCTTGCCAACCTTCTATACATCTGGTTTGACCTGTTAGTCGACAGTGACACATCAGCTGAGATTCTTTCTGTTATGGATCTGTGTGGGCTCTCACCACAGTGAAGAACAGAGTACTCAAAAAGTGTAATACACAGCAATGTAATGTAAAGAAAAAGTCATCTGAAATGATTGTTGATAACTAGCTGATGAACCCATGGCCTTCTGAAAAGCTTAGATAAAAAGATGAGTTAAGCTGCCGTGCAGATTTTCTCCTCAAAACTCAGAGGTGAAGATTTTCATATTTTATCTAAGGTGTTGTGAGAAACTATAATGACCATATCGGTGGGTCAAATTCTTCAGATATCTACTTTTAGATCTGCAGTGTAGCTTCAGACAAGCTGCTCCCACAAGTTTCTGTTTCACTAAGATATGGCGCAACTATTGCATTGGGAAATGTTTTAAAATTGTTACATTTTAATTGGTAAGGATTCATTTGAATTGAATGCAAATGTTGTGGCAACCTATTTTCCCATCAAGTCGTTTTTGTCATGTAAAATAAGGTATTTTTTATCAGCTCCATTACATGTATTAATAAAGCCCACTTTGTACATAATGTAGCCAACAGCTCTACTCCAAAATCATTTTTATTACTAGACGTTAATAAGGTTCTGGGAAATGCTGAATCTTTTCACGTCTCCTATTACTTCTTTAGTGGTCCACAGAAATACCAGTAAAAGAAAAATGATACCTAGTGATCAATTCAGGTTTGTTTTGTTTATAAGTCCGGCCAGTAGTGTAGCGCCAGATTCAGTCTTAGAAAATGAGCTAAACTCAAACAGTCGCATCTCTAAATCTCATCAGTGTTTTAGCTATGAAACCAGTGCCTCTCCTAAAGGCTACTGCTCAGCTGCAAGAGCTTCAGAGGAAGTGGTATGTTGTAATGAGACTGTGAGCTCATGAATGGAGCACTTGTCTGTTTCATCCCTTTGGGTGAGGTTCTGTCTGTGTGAATGTAGCACTGAGCCTTGAAGAGAGGCAGCAGACATTCAACACAGACACCTTCAAATATGTGTGGGGGCGGGGCACAAGAGTACTTTGACTGCATGATTTACCAGGGATCAATGAGTTTGTATTTGTCTTTCTCTCCCTCACATAATTGTAGCTGGTCCGTCCTCTCTGGGTCGGCCCTGCATTCCTACGATGGCCCACTCTTTTTTGGCAGCGGCTTGTGGTCGCTCTAATTATGAGGTTTCAGGCACTAGTTTTTTCGGATTTATACATCCCATGGCCACGGTTTATATACACACAGAACCACACAATTAGCATGCATGCATGTTGTGGGTGGTTTTGTGAGTGTGTCAATTATGGATGTATTTCATGCAAGCAGAACAATTCATCTCTACCCAGTTCAGATGTGTATACGTTCAATAGATTAGTTTTCCTCTTCTTAGATATTGGCTAAAAGTCTCAGTTTGATATTAGTTAACCAGCTACTACAAACGGGCTGCTCAGTTTCATAGGCATCGTTCCTTTTTCTCTTTTCCAAGAGTCTTGTATTTCCAATACTTCTGGACAATATCAAAAATAAAAAAGCAGTTTGTGATAATTGTAGACCTTGACAACAAGTGTTGATGACGTTGAAGGAGGAGGGACGTTTAGGGCAGTATAAATGTTTGATTGTATAAAGTTTGTACTTGTTTCGTAGAATTGCAAACTCAAAACATATTGGTGTATACACCACTAATAACATTTTATGCAGTTATTGACAGTAGATGGTAGAGAGATAACTGGAAGCAATGGGAGAGAGGGAGGATGGGGAGTGACATTACATTACATTACATTGCATTTAGCTGACGCTTTTATCCAAAGCGACTTACAATAAGTACATTCGACCAGGAAGACACAACCTTGAAGAAAACAGAATCATATAAGTACATCAGGTTTCATAGAGCCAAACATTTCAATGCCACAACATTTCCCGGTCAAATATTAGTCTATGACAAAGGTTCAATATTCCTAATTATTATTGTCAGCCACCGGGTTCGACCTGTTTTGAAGTAATTTAATCTTGACATCACATTATCTGTCACATCATGGAGAGCTGTCATTTTGATATATCTGATGGATTGCATCAATCAAATAAAAGTTCTTCCTATTATCCAGAAAATGTAAATCTGTGATGATAGGTTAATGTGGGATATAGAGCTATTTCTCCAAAACACAACAACACTACTTAATCATTTAATTAAACCTCTGAGAGGTCATAGTCCAGACAAACTCATTGTAGGGAGTACCAAGCACATAACACCTCTTACAAATCATATTTCATCTCAGGAAATGGGGCTGAATGTACTGTTTATATTTTTGTTCTTATTGCCCCAAATAGTTGGTAGTTTTTGTTATTTCAGTTGTTTCCGTCACAATGGCTCACACTCTGCGGTGATTCTGTTGAATAGTTATAGATAAGAAGGCTGATGTGATGAAAGAAGATACATGAGAAAAAAAACGTGATCTTCTAAAAGTGGTAAAACAACATAGTTTCTCATGTGTGTTTTTTTCTTTCCGTGTTTCCTCTTGTACTCAGTCTTGAACCTTTTTCTCTTTCTTGAATGAGAGTTCAAACATTTATTGTGAATTTATCATACAATGGAAATCATTTGTGAATATTGATTTACCTGTGCTCTATCTTTTTCCGTCTGTCTTTTTCTCTCTCAGGGCCTACAAGTGGATAACTATGCCAGAGATACAGAACCAACCAGGTCTAGTGCACAAAGGCACACACATGGCCCTGTGAGCTGCGACTGTGAACCGCGCTATCAAGGAAATTCCTCGATCCCCCAGGGTTACCTCCGAGGGTTCTCTATCTGCCGGTTTGTACAGCTGCCCAAGCTTCTGTTTCTACAGAAAACACACACAAAGCAAACTCTGTACGGACAGGGTCTTAGTCACTCAGGAGATCAATGCGAGCTGAAGTTATCATGCCACAGCCAGCAGGCCTTTGACCATGATAACACACTTAAATCGTAAAAGAACAGAAGAAGAAGAAGCTTGTTGAGTAGCATGACCTGAAGTGGATATCTCTCATTAGCTTAGTAAGTATTTGGGACAGAACTAGAAGATGGTGGTAATATGTAATCAATCATTTTGTGAAGCCGCAGCAGGGAAATGTGCTTTAACCAGTTAAGCCCCGAGCCTGTTTTTCATGCCTCAGGCTCGAAAATGACATTCCCAGAACAATTGACTATATCTTCACTTCTAAAAGGGGTACATTAATAATCTTTTTTCTCAAATGAATGATAAACCTGGGAGTTGGATGTAGAAAAGTCAGAATCAATATAGAATTTTTTTATAAATAAATCTCCGTTATTGACATAAAAATTGAATGATGGATTATCATAATGTAATATATATATATATATATATATATATATATATATATATATATATATATATATATATAACCTTCAGCAGCGTTTTTATCATTTTAATGCCATTGAACACAACTTTTGATTTATCAGTGTTTCAGTGTTTCATCTCGGGGGCATTAACCAGTTAAGCCCCATGCCCCCGGTACCTGTTGACATTTTTGAATAGCGAGCCAACTCTCCATTCAGGGGAAACTCACTATCATTAGTCATCTAGACCCTTTGAGTTATAAACGTGCCATCTTTCACAATGTATGGGTTTTGAAGTCTGCAAATTAAATTTCCTCTACAAATGTAATTTCCTCTTGCTGCTGTAAAGACCCACTAATTGAGATGTAAGACGTTGCTTCCCAAATGTTTCAATTAAGAGAGTCTGAGAGAAATGTATTGGTTGTGATTGTTAATGCTATAATGTTAGATTCCTCTTGCTCAACTGCAATTAACAGCAACGTCTTACTTATTTCCAGAGCTGCAGCAAAACAAAGAATAAGGTAGGACTCTGCAGGGAGACACGATGGCTACCGAAGAAAATCAAACCCAGGTTGGGTCTGTAGTCCTGGCTCAGCGTGCTTCACCTCCATCCTCTGGCAGCAGGCCGCACAGAGAAACCAGACATGACAGCCAGGAAGTATGGCGATACTCTGACCAATCGTGGAATTCAAAACAGCGAAGCAGCCCTTCCCTCCTCTTTTATCGGAAGTTGTCGTGTGACAGTGAGAATGGGCCAATTTTGGACAAGGAATACGACTGTTTGGACTACAGCTCAAATCTCCAGCCGTCAGCTGGCAAGAGAATTGAAGGAGTAACTAACACGGTTACTCCGATACCTGAGAAAAGTTCAGAGGGATCTCCGTGCCAGCTGGACACCTCTGGAGAGGGTGTGGATGCAGGCAGGAACAGAACTGGCAGAACCCCCTGCTCCTGCCCCCTGTCTAGCCTCCACACAGGTCCAAACATCTATTGTTGCCACAGCCCCAGATCCAGTCCGAACCCCAGCTCCAGCCCCGTTCAGAGCCCTCGCCGCTGCAACAGCCCTTCGCAGCACCACCGGAGACACGTCCGCCGCAGCAGCCTGCCGGTGTCTATGCTGGCGTTCAACAAGGTAATAATGAAGGCAGCCGCTAGTCCTGGTAAACTGCAAATTGTATGTATACACTCAGCTGCTGCAATAAGACTGTTATGTGTCATATTTGCTTTAAAAAATGCTTGGACTGTACAATATTGGAAAAAGTTTTACATTGCCCAATTTTTTGGGAATATAGAGTATATTGCAATAAGAAAATAGGAATAATAATCTACATTTTTATTTATTTTTTTACTTTTTTTTTTTCCACAGACATAACATAAATAGGACATACATGGAGATGCTTACATAACTGCACCTGTTGTACATCAGGGTTAATCATTCATGCCCTCCTTGGACACCAAAAGGACATACAGTTCTTGATGCTATCGATTTTCATATTGTGCAAACATTATCAACATATTACAGACATTATCACTCCCACTCATCAACAAAATGATCGCACACTACCTGAGTAATCTACATTTTTAAGGATGCATTTTAAAGTTTTTAATACTGAAATCTAGTGTGCTTTGAGAATCGTGCTGGTTTTGCTTTTCTATCAAGCATAAAAAGGCTTAGTTATTTTGACAAACATCGCATGTCCTGCTTTGTGATCGCAATGTTTCGCTGAGATTTTTTAAATGTTTTGACTTATCACAATGTAAATGTGTTAATTCAATGATTTACCTCATTAGATAGACCATTCAAGCTAATGCTAATTTAGCTTAACTAAAAAAAAGTCAATTAATTTACCATGTTTCTGCTTCCAGATGTCACCCTACCTCTCAACCCGGTGCACTCCCGCCAGTGAACCCAGCTCTTTAACGTCCTCACCTTGTAATTCCCCCCTCCCCAAACACCGGCAGCATCATCAGAATGGACATACCCACCAGCACCGGCTCAAAGATGTCTACTCCAGTTTAGAGAGGCTCAACAGAAAGCCCAGGGTGGACAAATACTCCCTGGAGAAACTATTTCTAAGACGAGCATCTCTAGAAACTACGAGGACGACCTTGAGGAACGACGAGAGGTCACCCTCAGGAGTGACCAGAGACTGCAGCGGGGGCAGCAGCAGTGAGGAAGAGGAGGAGGAGGATGAAGAGGGTCTTTTGGATAACTCAGAGTTTATCAGGAACCGTAAAGAGCGTTCCACTGTCCTAGTGAGGCGCTTCTGCAAGAATAATATAAAGGTATTTACACACAACATTATTTTTTCTATAGACTTGAACAAAAGTGACAAAAGATCGAGGCATTTTGAAATACTTTACTTTCCATATACTAATAATACAACATAAAACTATTCTTTCCATAAGGTGACCAAGTCAGTGTGTACTGGAACCAGAGCCATCGTCAGGACGCTGCCATCAGGACGCATCTCAGAGGAGGTCTGGGACGTGGTTTTTACTCACCGGATATGGAAACCCAGCAAGAAGGATTTGTGTCCAATCTTAACTCGTGGTATGGAAGAAGAGTTCAGAGTCTGCAGGGAGATACTACGTTTTGTTGGAGTTAAGCTACAACAGGTAAGAAAATGAAAAACACATTTTGCAAGATGTTTTTAATACAGATGTAGAATAGAATGAGGCAGGAATGAGTCCTAAACCCAGGAATTAGTTTTTCGCATCTTCTGGGTTCCCTTAAGTCAGTGATTAATGAGTTTTTTGGTTAGGCCTGACATAAGGTCTGTGATTAATATATATATATTGGCAAGAACATCTACAAGAGATTGTACAGTGCAATCAGAGAGATACAGTATGTCCACGTTTTTGAGCAAGTCCACGAATCCAGTCTTTGTCAAGTCTGTCACCACCTTCGCGCAGCTGCTGGCGCCACTTCGTCCGGTCCTCCGCCAGCCTCTCCCAGTTGTCCGTCGCAATGTCCAGGGCCTTCATGTCACGCTTTACGACATCCTTGAAGCGCAGCAGTGGTCATCCTCTGCCTCTGGAACCAGCGCTCAGCTCGCTGTATAAGATGTCCTTTGGCAGGCGGCCATCTGGCATTCTGCGAAGGTGACCGAGCCACCGCAGCCTCCTGACCTTCAGTGTTTGGAACATTGACTTGCTACCCGTGCGCGCCAGCACCGCCTTGTTCGTGACCTTGTCCCGCCATGGGAACCCGAGGATGTTGCGCAGGCACCGCATGTGGAAAGCATTTAGCTCTCTTTCGTGCCGTGCGTAAGTTGACCACGCCTCGGAACCATACAGCAGGACGCTGACCACGCAACATTGGTAGATACGTGTCTTAGCTCGGTGAGGTATTTGTTGCTCCAGGCTCTTGAGCGCAAACGACTGAAAGACGTTGCGGCTTTGCCGATACGAGTCTGGATCTCCTTAACTAACGACAGGTCACTGCTGATTGTTGAACCAAGATACGTGAACTGGTCAACAGTCTCCAGCACATGCTCGTTCACCACTACCGGCGACGCTGCGCTTCCCGCTTGGTGCATAACAACTGTCTTTTTGATGTTGATGATCAGTGCAAATTCAGAGCATGCTGCACTGAATCTGTCCATCAGGCGATGTAGACCAGCTGCGCTGTGAGACACCAGAGCTGCGTCGTCCGTGAATAAGCAAGACGCCTGCCAGGCTGTCGTAGAACTGGTCCTTGACCGCAGCTTCACTCGGCAGTGTGGGGGCGTAGGCACATATCAGATGTATTTGGCTGGCAGATTGCTTGAGCGTCAGGGAAATTATCCTTTCTGACACACCGACAGGAGTGTCAGACTCTTGCACCAGCTTGTTGGACACTGCAAAGCCTACGCCGTGTGTGCGGTGTTCATCTTTGGCTTTTCCCATCCAGAAGAAAGTGTAGTTTTGCTCTTTGATAGAACCAGACTCGGCTAGTCTGGTTTCCTGTAGCGCGGCGACGTCGACTGCAAGCTTGGCCAACTCCCTGTCGATCAGTGCTGTTTTGCGTGTTGCGCCTTGTCTTTGTACGTTGCAGTCTTGATCCGCAGTGAATCCCGGATACATGGTACGAACATTCCAGCTTGCCAGCCGGAGATGTACATTTAAATAAAAATTTGAACTCTGCTCTTTATTACGGTTTAGAGTTTTTCTTTGATTGGTAGGTGAGATTTCAACGTCCATGCTTGCTGCGACCACCCCATCGAAGCAATAGACATGGCGGGTCAGAACCGACCAGGGGCTGCCTGGCTTGAGGCGGGCGGTAGATGACCATTGGGGCACGATGACCCCTCCCACCGATTCAGAGGACCCGTGGCGCTCCGTCTTACGCCAATCTGACTGGAGCTTATAACCCGTAGACTGTCGCTCTGCCGTGTTGTTTCCCCAGCGCCTTTACAACGCCGCGATGAAGTGTCCTCTCCATTGCACTTGCCCGGGCGGGAATGAGGGCTCCAGCGTTGCCCAAGCTGCAGGAACCACACTTGGCCTCCGCTGGCAGGACTCCAAGGAAAAACAGAGGTCAATACGTTGGCCCCAGCATTGGCTGCAGGAGATGGCCGTTGGCTCACTAATTCTCATTCTGTGATTAATACAAACCCAAAATATGTCACTAAATACCCCATTGGTGAATATCTTAAAAAAGGAGGTTGCTAACAAGTGACTAAATAAGACTACTAAACGTAATGGCGCAGAACACGGGTCTGCCTTTAAGTTGCGGTGGTGACGGGAACTCATGCGACCATAATGCGATGTACTTCTATAAAAGTGGTTTTAATATGTGAGAATTATATTGCTGTACAACAATTGTAAGTATCAGAAACGTGTGTTTGCCACAGTGCTTATTTGTTTTGCAATATTCCAAAATGCAAAGGAAAAATCCCATAGTTTTTGTCCATGGAGACCCTGAAATGCTAACTTGCTGTTCACCGTACAACAATAAGTCATCACTGCACCACTCTATAGAAGCATTCCATATTTCAAGGACTCAAAACAAGCTGTAAAAGTGTTCACAAAGGTAGATTAAGGACATCAATGCAGTGAAGTTCAGGCACTGGGTGGTTTATATTTCACACCTAGGCTACTGTTAACTCGCTCCATTAAAAACGAGAAACAATATATAATATATAGAAATGATGCGTGTGTTTATCAGCACAATTAAACATGGTTTTCCACAATCACCCTAATCCAAGGGTTATTAAGGTTGCCTTTTTAAGAGTTTAGGAAATATGTTGGAGTGGGAGGCATTCAATCATGACTGTTTCTCCTCCAGCTATACTGTGCTTTTTCTTTAAGTGCTTTAAATTCTGTGGATTTTCCACTGATGATAAGGCATTGGGTTTTAAAATGTGGTTTGCTGTTCCAGCTCTCTTTTCTCTGCCACAATAAAAAAAGTGCAGTACTTCTCTGTAGTGGCACAGAGTATTTATGACATGATTGATTCCTTCTCCAATGAAAGATGATTGTTGTTGGCTTTCTCTTTTCACTATTTGGGTTGAAACGTTATGCCTGTTATGCACGAGGGATAAATAATTTGTTCAAGGGATATGTTAATAGACCAACACACACATCCTCAAAAAATGCATACACACAGGCTCTTTGTTCGGAGAAGGCCCCTGCTGCGGAAAAATGATTTATTCTCTGTTAGTTCTGCTCCCTATATTACTGACAGGCTGAATGACTGAGCCTTCTGTGTGTGTGAGTGTGTTTAAATGGACTGAGCAGAGTTGGCATCTGCATTAAAGTTATGGCCATGGAAATGGGAGAGAAGGCAAGACAGAGTGAGGGAGGAAAAGAGAGCGAGTGAGACAGAGAGGAGACCCAGGTCATTGCTCTATTATGATTGTTACAAACATGAACACCTCTCTCAGGAGCTGTTCAGCTTCACCTTGGCAGCCACAATTCAAAGAAAAATACAGCTATTTCTTCTTTGTCTTGAGTCAGGCTTTTCAACCTGAGAGGTGCAAACATCATGATATTCTATAAAGACTTGGAATCAGCAGCGTCACACAGGAAACTCTCCTGTTGTTGTTTTTTGGTTATCTTCTCCCTCCTCTTCCTGTAAGCACTCTGAAGACTGAACCCTGCCTTGATGCATTCTAAACAGAATCACATAAGCGCAAATGTATTATATTGTTATGCCAAGTAGCCTATTTAATTTATTTTGAACTTTTGTGTAACCGTTGCCGCATTGCGGTAGTTTAAATTCCATTCCAACAGAAACATTTTGTTTTTTACGCTGGCACTTGACTGTGCATAATGTTCCACTTTTGTATGATGGTTTTCTGACACATGTATGCATGTGGGTGCATAAATGCATGGGTATGCAATTGTGTTTTTTATGGGTTCATGCATAGCCACAACAGAGCCGAGCATTGTCTAAAGTTTCTCGTGTGCGGACTGGGGCTTGTACACTCAAGCCATACAAACACACACTCACACTCATGCTCATGCATCCAGTGTAATTTCTGACTCCGCCAAAGTGTTTTTATGAGTCCTTTGTGGTCGTAGAAATACGGGCCAAGTTAAGTCCAGGCAGAGCTGCTTTAATAATGAGCCTATTGAAAATGGGGGAGTTGCCAGCACTTCCCTTGTCAAAACACCATCTGAGCTACTCCTGTTAGGGGTCACCAGAGAAAACTCTGAGAACACTGAGGGCAGTGAATAAGGAGAGTTGTAGCCGAGCTGTCATCAAGATCGTAAAATGTATGATAAAGTAGGAATGCCTGTGACAAACAAATGTGTATCGTGCAGGCATAAAGAAACATTCCTTCTCTTTTCTGTACATTTTATTAGACGGCATGCAGCAGATGGAGAAGTACAATTGGGAAAATGAAAGTATACGACATTTGAGTTAACATTCTTTAACATAGTGTGTTTCCTTTCATCCAAAACCCTCTGCTCACGCGATAATAAATAGGTTGGGATAATATGTATGCAGTATTCAACACACAAACATTGCAAATTGGAAGGATAATTCCAGAAAACAAACCCCTGTGTCTTTTCTTTCTCTGCTCCGTCTTTCCTTTACACACACAAACACACCTTCTGCTACACAGGCCCCTATACAGTATGTGGCATGTGAGCCTGACTCTGCAGTAATCAGGTTGAGGAGTTTTCTGTAGGTATCCTGTTGCCCTGTGTGTTTATTGCTACAACTAATGAAGCGAGCCAAAGAACACAGGATTATATAAAGGAGGGATTGGAGCAGAGAAGCAGCAAGAGAGGGAGAGAGGTAAGGGTAACACACTTGGAGAGAAAATGAGATTTTAACAGTGGAAAAACAAGAACATCTACCAAGTGAAGGGGGAATCTGGCGCGGACGATTTTAAAAGAAAATAGGAAGAGTGAGAGAATGGAAACAAAAAGGAGGTTTAGATCAAGACAAGCCATGACTTATGTTTTATATAGGTTTTCATAATGGAAAATAACACAAACAAAGCCTTCTTTGCATTCTTTCACGAGAGTTTCCCAGTGAAAAGGCAAACTAAATAGTGAGTGTTCTTAATCAAATCTAACTGCTAATTCCCTCTGTGTAACTGGACTGTTGTAACACTAAGTGGCAGGGAAGTCAAACACAACATAGGGAAGTGTACGATGATTTTTTGCAGCTTTAATGC